CCCACCGCCTCCCCGTCTCCGCTCCCTCCCCGGGGAGACAGAGCAGGCTGGTTGAGCCTGAGCTGCGGGAGGGATTAGACTCGTTGACTGGCCTTCTGAATCGGAGGGGCAGAGATTGAAGGAAAAAAAAAAAACAGGAATTTTCAAGTTTCCTAACAGATCAACAYGTCGAACTCTGAGAGGAAGCTGCCCGTAAACAGGAAGTAAAGTCAGCAGATGGGACCTTCTGTTATGGGTTCATCAAGTTTATAAAGCAGGAACCAGTTTTAGCTTCTTCCTGTTTCAATATATTTCTTGCAGTAAAGCAAAAACTTCGTTAGTTTTTTGTTTCATTTGCACCTGCCTTAAACCACATCCTACATCCTTTCCAAATCTAAGCTGGTTCAGATCATGATGAGGGAAGCAGACGAACAGAGCTCGTGCTCATCTTGCCACGTGAGGCGCGATGGTCTCAGAATAAAGTCGTGGACAKACTGGTGACTTACCAGAAAATCTTCCTCGCAGTAGACCTTTCCGTTGACGTTGTAGAAGGCCTTCCCTCGCAACCTCCTTCCTGAAAGAAGGGACAACAAAATAAAACTTTGAGTGAGAGTTTGGTTCAGGTGCTTCTAAAGCTGAGGCACTATCTGACACCAAACACTGGCAGTTTACTGTATCACCTTTATATTCCTTCAGCAAAACTTTAGGTTTTAATCAAAGGACGTGGCGRGTTGCGTAAAGCGTCACAGTGTGGATAAAAGGGAACAGAGGAGAGGAAATGCATCCAGGGGAAGCTGCTAAGTCTGATAAGCTGAGCAGTTAGCTATTAATTTACCTTTAACAGTATCTCCCTTGTGAGCAGAGTCACCGAACCGCAGAGCTTCTAGCATAAACACTGAATATTAACAGGAACAATCAGACACTATTTTAACGCAACAGTTTCTGTCAAGTTTATAAAACTCTGATGGAAAAATGTCCCATAATGAGGAAATATATATGGTAAACGTCCTGAATGTTATTTAAGTCCTACGGACTCCAAAGCACCTTACACTTTAGTCATTCATTCATTCATTCATTCATTCACACACACAGAGAACAATACATCAAAATAACTTTATCTAAAGACTCAGAAAAAATGGATATATTAAGTAGACAGAAATTCATTGTTCTTTCTATTGTTTTATTTCACAAAACCAGACATTTATGAAGTTTGAAGTGCATTTGCCTTTATTTCCCTGTGTGTTAAAAGAACTGTGTGGCTAATGTGTCGAACAATAGCTAAAATATTTGTGTGTCTGTGTTTGACTGTAAAAGTTTGTGCCTTTAAAACAAGTACCAAGCCATGTCAAACACATCAGATAACATGAGGTCCCAACCTGGTAACACACACACGCACGCACGCAC